GGGATTTTCGTCCACAAGGCGGTTATCTTTTCGAGTTCGAGTTTACGGAGGCGCAATTGCGCTTCAACGAGGGAGTTGAAGTGGACCACTTGGGCTTCCATCTGGGACTTAACATTGGCAATTTCAGTGTCAATGCCTTCAATATTGGACTCGTGTTGCTTGATGAGACTTCGCGTGTCTCGTTCGAAAGTGGCAGCTGCCTCTGATGACGGCGGGTCTTGGGGAATCAATGAGTCCATTCTGTAGCTAAATTATCATCCTGAACAGAAGGCAACGGGTCTATCCATACCGGTTCCAAGCTCACGTATTCGAAGAAAGAAAGGAGGCGAGTCACGCAACTTGAATGTCACGACGTGACACCAGCTACGGTTGATAATTTCATTGAGGGTATTTTCTTTAATACGGCTTGTGCGACAAATCGTTTTGTGAGCTTCGAAGCTTGCCCTAGAATAGTGTATTTCTGCAGGCGGATGTAGCGAGCGGGTGCTGTTTGTCTCGCCGTCGTTACAATTTGTATTCGAGACTGACCGAGTGGGAATTTCGGGAGATTACGGGTTAGTAGAGACACTGATACTGCGGGCATGGTTGCGGTAGGCTCGCCGGGGTCGCTCTCGGGCGAAGGCGACACTCTTGAATTGGACCGCTGCGTTGTGGTTCTGAACAAAGTAGAGGAATGGAGAGATACCTCCTCCGAGGCTTGAATCGGAGTATCCGCCCTCGACTAGGCAAAAAATACAAGTAGATCCGGAGAAGAAGGCAGTGCTTGGAAATCGCTGCTTCTTTGCACTCAAGTCCTAATTGGGGTTGTTGTGGTTGTAGGCTCGATTTGGGTTTCTCCACGTGAGGCTTGTGGCGGCAACAAAAAGACTCCTTGTCGGTCCTTCACGGCTTTTCTCCAACTTGTACTCTGTCCCGCCATATACCACGGACACGGTCTTTCGACCCACACCACTACCCCCGTATTCCTTGTACATTAGTACTCGCGTTTCTGACGCGCCCGACGCGCCACCACCACAAATTATAAGGGTGCTATGCCTATTCCCACCTCCCAGAGGCACAGTAGACCAAATAGTCCCCCCACAAACGCTGCAAACGCCACGACCACCTCGCTGCGTCCACGGCTGTCTGGCATCTTCAATGCCCCGTCGTCAGGCACTGCGTATTCCCCGACAGTCACCCCCGGCGCGCACAACCAGAAGCTCAATGTCGTGACGCGTGTGGCCATTGAAGGCAAGGCAAAGCAGGGCGACGACGGCGCGGGCATTAAAATGTACCTCAAGGTGCGTAGAATTCTAGTTGCTTTCGCCACCAGCTAATTTTTGTGGCAGATTTCCTTGCCATTAGACAGTGTCACTCCCGGGTCCACCATTCCGCTGTTTCCGGGTGCGTTTTCTCTCTCTGGCAGCTGAACAGGTGCTGACTTGGGCCCAGAGGAAAGCGTCAAAATTTTATCCTCGCAGGTTCACCCACTAGACAATAATTCCGTCCCCTACGACTTTTCGTCCGACTTGTGCCCGCTGCTTCATCATGCAGCGCGCGCACTCAATCGTGAGTTGTGGGCCACTACCGTATTCACACCGATACTGAGCTTTGTCTAGTTCCCAGCCGCTCATCAGAGTCTTACCACACCGCCTTTGGGCTCTCGCCACCAGCCACAAGCGCCTCTGTCGCCGCCTCAGTCCGATCCAACAAGTCCAACGGGTCCACCTCAAATAGAAGTAGCGCCACGCCCCCCGTAGACACCAAATACACCGGCCATATCCTCGTGAGCGGCTACCACATCTCGTATGTGCTCCCCAAGGTGTTCCCGGTGCGGTACCAGGACAGCGACTACTCCCGCTCTTCAGGCAGCCTCCGCCGCTCATCCATCATAGAGCGCAACAGCGTGCAGTTCATGGCCGCCATCGACATGTTCGTACCGTATGCCTCCCGCCCGCCCCGTTCCCCGTATCTCGTCTCCATCCCCACCCCACGGTGCCTGCACAACAACATTCGGCTCCGCATCTTCCCGCCGTCCGCCGTGTCCTCGTCCTTCGCGTCGCTCTCGTCCGCGGACGAGGACGGCGGCTCGTGGGACCTGACCGCGGACCCGCACGTCACGCGCGCGGCGTCGTCGCGCCAGTCGCGTGCGGGCACGTACTCATACGGCAACATCGCGGACGATGAGTCGAGCGACTCGTCCACCGCGGGCTTCTCGGACGGGTGCGGCATTCAGGGCACGTTCCCGAGTGCGGAGCGCATCCGCGTGCGGTGGGCGAAGCCGACGCGGATCGTCGCTGGTGGTGGGGGCGACGGGCGGCGGCGCGTGGGCGTCAAGGACGTCAAGGGGGACATGACGTGCGCCGTGCTGGGGAAGATGTGGGACGCGGAGCACCAGAGGGAGGGGATCGTGCTGAGGGTGGAGTACAAGGGGACATGCAAGGGTGTGTGGTTCCCCGGCGTGGCGACGATGCTCGGGATGGACGTCAGTCTCGAGGCCAAGGGCTCGGACATTTCGTGGGTGCCGGGAATGCCCGATGACTGGGAAGTCGGGGGCGGTGCGGGGTACACGGGCTTCGACGTCGGCGCGCCGCCCAAGCCCGACGGCCCGTCGAGGCATGATTCGCTCGACTCGAACTATTCGAACGGGGGCCCGCAGATCTTTCTCTCCGCGGAACGAAACATATCCCATCAAAGCTCCGCGTCGTCGACGTCGTCCCTCCTGCGGGGGCCGCTCCCTGCGCACAACGTCCCGGAGTACTCTTTCGAGGGCTCTGCCCCGTCGTCCTCGTCTGTCTCTGCTGCCACCTCGCAATCGCAATCACAAACCACCTCGATCGACTCCTCCGTGGGCTCCCTCCTCCCCGCGTCGACGTCGTCGACGACACCTTCGCTCGACCGGCCCCGCCCTCCGGGCGTCCCGGTTACGATCCACGTCAACATGAACGAGCTCTCCCTCCCCGCGTCCAAGAATTCGTTAACGTTCTGGATATCAGGCACCGTCCTCGTCACGCCGCGCCCCCGGCCTGCGTTGGCGCCAGCGTCGCGCAGCGCCTCGCCCGTGCGCGGGGAGGGTGGGGATCCCGACGCAGGGACGACGCCGACGCCGGTCGACCCCGAGTCGATCGTCATCCCGCGCTTCACGGTGCTCGCGGCGGACAACGAGGCTGTCACGGTCGTGGTGCGGCATGACGCGGATGTGAACGGGGGCGCGCCGTGCACGGTCGAGGTGAGCAGCGGGGACGCGTCGTACTCGTCGCAGCGCGGGTTACCCGCGCCGGGCAAGACTGTGCTGCAGCGCGGGGATTATACAAAGTGCGGCGAGCGCGCGCGTGTGGCGGTCAAGCCTGCTGTACCGTTTACGTCGGCATCAACGTCGGCGGTTAATGGGGTGGTTGTAGGCGCGAACGGGAAGTTGCACCCGCCAAGTCGGCCGAGGACGCCGAGCGGCGCGCCGGGGTCGCGGGAGCGGGTGTCGTCGACGGCAACAAGTTCTGCGCGTGCGATGGCGCTGCTGGGGCTCGCGCCTGCCCGGCCGAAGCGCGACGGCGCTCTGATGATCCCGAGCGTCGTTGCGACCGTCACGCCGCTCGTCGTCATGCCCGAGGACGCAGGCGCGCTCGCGGCCGTGCCTGCGGCGTACGCCGTGAGAGTGGCACTCGCCGCGCCCGTTGACGCCGATTCGGACTGGCTTGAGTTTGGGTTGGCAAAGTACGGCGGGTCGGCGGGGGAGGTGCCGAAGGTGGAGATTGTGAGCGTGAGCGTGGACGATGTGCCGGTGCTTTATGAGACGAGTGTGGCGGTGAAGCAGGAGGAGACGGGGCTGGGGCTGCCGTTTGAGCAGATGAGCGGGCAGGAGTGGGTAAGCTGGGTTAAGCTTAGGGTTGGGGCCGCTGGGGGCGGGCGCATTGTGGTTGATTATGTGGTTAGGGATCTCGATAGGGACGGGACGGCCGTCGCTGATAAGAAGGGCAAGCGGAAAGCAAAGGACCGCGCGCCCGAGTTTGATGTGTATTTGCCGTCGTTCGGGATACCCGTGGGCAGGTTGGAGGTTAATATCGATGGCATTCAAGGCCAGTCCTCCATTTTTTTTAATGTCCCGAGCACACGCGGTCTAACCCTGCTTGCTTTACACAGGCCTGGAAATCTCGTCATTGCGATCCAACTTCTCACACCACCAATGCGTGAACTCTGGACGGCGTCTACTGCACTATTCTCTGCAGGAATTTTTCTATCCCCACATCACTTTGGATATTCGGCTAGATCGCCGCCTACAGCAACACTACTACAACATGCACCCCTTCTCGCTCGTCTCGACGAGCTTCGGCCAGCTCACGATCCTCCTCGTGTCCTGGACGATCCTCATCCTCGGCTCCGTGTACCTCGTTCGCCTGAATTCGGCAGTGTCGCGGCTCTCGAATTCGATCGAAGGGTACTCGCTCGGTGTAGGCTCGGGATGGCACGAACCCTTGCCTCCCGAGCCCGTGACGATCACCACCACCGCCTTCCAGTCCACTCGGTGGCCGTGGCATGGCAAATCGGAGTCTGCATCGGGGGCCGAACCCGAGCAAGCCACTCTGAGCAGCACTTTTACGTCTTCGTCTTCGTCTTCCTCGGCAGTGCTGACGTCTCCGCCCGCGCCGTCCGTTGCGGAGACACCGCGGGCGATGCCAACCTTCACTGCCGAGTCGTCGACGTCTGTTGCGCTCTTCCGGCCTCTCGCGTTCAACCTGACCTGGCCCAACATGACCTGGCCCGAGGTAGACATGGATTTGGCGCTCGAAAAACTCCTCTGGGGTGCGGAGAAGCTTTGGCAGTTGGCCCGGAAAATATACCACTATCCTCTGGAACCTACATGATATAGCGACATATAATGACATTTGTAGCACTTTCATATGTTTATGATTTAACGTTTTATGAGAAGGATTGTGGCTTTGCGGAGGTTTATTGTTTGCCGGACAAGGCACAATGAGGGAAGGAAACGAAAAGAAGCAAAAAAAACGCTAATGACTGCAAAAAAACGACACCAGCAGGACTTGAACCTGCGCTCGGAAACCGAAACAGATAAGCTTTAATTCGAATCTGTCGCCTTAACCACTCGGCCATAGTGCCTTACAATCACCCCCATGTCCGGCCGTTATACTTCGGCCTCTGAGTTGACGCTCCTGCCCCACTGCCGGCAGGGGCGAGAAGCCGTGCTTACAGTCTTCCCAGACGGACACGAGTGCTTCGACTATATCATATTATCTGTCCTAATTGCTCAACGCAAGATGGGGGTCGAAATTGAGGTATGCTGTTTCTTGTCTAGGAAATTTGCCGTATTCACACCAATGCCGATCGATGCACAGGAAAGTCAAAGCGTGATAAGATGCGGATCAATATTAATTATGTCGCGGAATCTAATTGTCTATCAATAGGGGCTCAACGTTGGCTCTGCATGTTCGACTGCGGAGCTGAAGATAAAGCTCTCATTTCCTGCCTGCCACAGGCGACAACACAATTGGACTCCAATGAACGAGGCAGGTGAGCAGCTCGGATATAAACGGGTGTATGGAATAGAGAACCATCGTAACCGAGGAATGGACATACAATAAAATGGTCTGTGGACAATAATGATATGATCTTGGATAGGTAAAGTAGACCCGCCAGTCGCATGGAATCGCAAACCTTTACGATAAATCTTGTGCAGCGCCTGTTTAGCAGTAACCTCGTTCAGAGCGAACTTGAATGGAGAACGAGCTTGGAATGGGAATTTAGACGCGTCTGCTTGAAGTCGGCCCTTCACATCTGTATGGAAAAGTGGAATCATTCTCGAATGCGGTCGACAACAAGACAATTGGGCGGTGGAGCTAAGCGAACCCGAATGGGATTTTTTACAATTGTAGTGTCCCCGGCACTGATGGCATCAACGGTCCTCTGCTCAAACAGAACAACGCCGTTGAACCTGGACTATTATGTTCTTGGCCTACAGCCACCGGGAAGCTGAACCCGGATCACTCAGAACAGGTGCCTACAAAAGCGACTGACCATGTGTATGCAAGTTATTGTACAGGAAATCTATAAATCTGGTCAGTGTTTTGGGCGTACAGCAACTTGAACCGGTCGCCGCAGTTGCAAAGATCTCCGCCTAGGACTTTCCACTTCCATTCTTTGTACTTACTTCCTCCCGACATGCAACGCCAATCAGCTTCCAAACGCGCCGGGCCGTCCAACCTTCAGCTCCCTCGGACTCTTGTGCGGCCTTCGTTCACCGAGGTTTCGCGCGAAGCCTTGGTCGCTGCGTCCCCAGATCTCGGAAATGTTTCTGTCGAGTTTATCCGCAAAAATCTGCTGGCGACCGCCCCTCAGTGAGTTATTCCGCATTCGAGATTTTTATTTATTTTTGCTTATCACCGTTTTGTAGAATGCTAACCGGCACTTCAGCGCTCTCCCCATCCCATCTTCCTAGCGCACTCCCCAAGTCGAGTCTCCCGCCGTACCTCACAGTCCCCATATACCCCTCACGGGCCTGTGAACATCCGTCCTACCCCACCCATGCCCTCGCCATATCCAACGCATGCCCGTCTGGTCCCGATGATATGCACCTCATCTTCCCGGTCCACGCTCTGGTGCTTGCCGCCCATTGCTCCAAACTACCGCGGCTCCCTCCCCCTGCGCCACGCGCCTCCACGTCTGTGCACCTCCCCGTCTTGCCCCTCGCCCTTCCGTCCGCCCCCGCCTTCTCTATCTTGCACGCCTTCATGTACTCCAAGCGCCTCGATGCCGTCCTGACCGCGCTCTTCCCCATCCCCCCACAATTCCTCCGTGCGCTCACGCACAAAACCGTCCGCGCTGCACTCCAGTCCGGTGCCGACCTCCATTACCTCTCTGCCCACCTCTGCGCCGCGTCCGCGTCGAATGTGCAGGCCTTGATGACCCACACCGCGCACGTCAAGGAGCTGTGGCAGGACATGGTGGCACTCGGCATCGACGACACTGCTCTCTGGGACACCGTCGAGCTTGCCTACGAGATCGTCCTCGGCGCTCTCAACCTCGCCGTCATGGCAAAATAGCAACACTCGAAGTGTTCAATCCTCGCTTGATGCGCGGCCTTTTTGTTCCTGTATCGATACTGGGATTTGTAGCATATGGTAATATAAATACAACAATAAGTCCATACCTATTTTCATTGTCAAATGAGTGAACTGGAATCAGCGAGAGGGGACGCGAGTTGAACATCACGGCGCGTTTCATCGTGTAACTCTACGCGTTCCTCTACAACCATCCAACCACCATCTCTAGTATCTAGTAAAAACTTTGGCGCAGCTTCCTGGATTGATTTTCGCGCATTCTCCTTACTAACTTTTAGTCCATGTCGATCAAATCGATCGTCGGTTGGTCTCCTGGACTTGGCAATGTCGAAAATCAGGTCACAGCCCTCATCGCCAATATCCAGCGCTTGGCGGCCCAAATTGACGAGTTCACTTGCCTACGCGAGAAAGCACGCAGTGTGATCGTGACACTACGGCTGATGATAGTGCCCATTGGTAAACTGCAGACGGAGTTACTGTGGAAATTTTCAAAATCGCAGTGCAGACAGATCTCCGCTACAAAATGCCGTTTTCGATGGAACTGTAGCCGCGAGCCGCGCAGTACGTTGGGCTGCAGAAAGTTTTGTGTCTCTCGCAGGTTTCCCCGTATTGGAGGCAAATCGTGCACAAACGCCGCAGCTGTGGGCTGCAAGTTTCGTCGATGTCCGGCTGAGCCGGGAGTTGACGGATGCGTATCTGAGAGGGCTCAAGACATTGATCACCCGCTCCGCCCCACATCCTATCTCAGTCTCCCGAAGAACATAACCCCTCTTTCGGAATCCTCGAGACGTATTTCGAATATCTTGGTCCCAACAGTTTCCCGATGGCAGTACCTCAACATTGACCCGGACTCTTTCGCTCATTACGACAACCTTCCTCGTTCGCAGCTCTTAAGCAGCTTCACATTCGCGACTTTCCCAAACAGACCCGCCCAGTCACTGCGTTGAATTTTCCCCTGGTCTCCGGGAATTCACTCTCAAAACCTTGGGGAGGACGAAAATTCATTTGATCCAATTGCCGTGGTGCCGACTCACGCATCTTCATATCAAAGACGGTTCACTGGGCGGGTGTCGTACGGCCTTGCTTCAATGTAGCAATCTCGTCTCGGCGAAATTTCGTACATCCTACAAGTGGGAACTCGCTCCGGAAGCGGTGGATTCACTCATCGTCGTTCTCCCTTTCCTCCAAACACTCATTATGGTCTTCGACCGAGCTGCGGAAGCTCCTAGTACAGTCGATGACGGACTCAGGGCCTTTTTCAGGCCGCTTTCCCTCCCCTCCCCGACGAATATCGATTTCCAGTTTGATTTCGATGACGAGGAGCTCTGGCCAAAACAGGCATTCTCCGAGTTCCAAAGTCGATCCCCCAGATCACCCTCACGTACAGCTCAATGGACTAAGAAGGACTATCCCTCGGCACGGACCATCCCTTACAACCCTCCGCATCACATGCAGCTACCAGTGTGTGTACGATGATTTTTTTCGACGCATTTCGCTACAACACTACCGACCCTGCCCCTGTGGCACCAAAACTCCGGGAAATGTACCTTTTTTGCATAGGAAATTTCAACCTCGATCCGTTTGAAGACGCCATCAGATCTCGATGGTGGAGGGACGGGGAGGGTGTCCTTCCTGACGGTTCACCTCCCCTCGTTTCCCGCCTGGAAAGTGTCTCAATTGACATGGATGACGATGGTGGCATGTCCAATGACCTCAGAGCTCAGATGCAAGATCTTCCTTCACAAGGACTTGACCTTCATGTGGAATGGAGGTAGATGAGCCTCGCGCGCTCTTATCATACTGGACATTTTAGTGTCGCGCCATTTGAGAATGGTTCTCAATCTACTCCATAAAAAGCTGTTTCTCAACGGAACTGCGGCGGTATATATCACCGACGGTTTCGAATCCTTGTCCGTGCGCGCGGTAATACAAATGATTTTCTTAAGTACAGGTTGTCATGCTTGTCCAAATCGAAACTCATGTGTCAGAAAAACCCCATAAACCTTCGATAGGCTGCAGGTTTTTAAAATAATCTAGTCCCATGAGTGGCAAGTTCTTTCTCGAGTAGCGAAGGCTGCTTATTCTTAGCGGAGAGCTGTACATCAAGTCAGCACGAGTTCAAGAACTAAATAGAATGACCTACACCTGGGGCCATGATAAGACCATCCTCCAGAAACCAAGATGGTCCACCGTCCGCGTTCACCTCACTTTCAAAGCTTTGTAAGAGTCGACGACAAGGGACTTTGGTCAATCCCAGTCGAGGTGTAATAACGCCGACTTCAGGGCTCGAAATTGCGAAGAAGAGTAAGAAGACGGAGGGTTTGTACACGATTTGTGCATGCGCCTTGAACCGGTTCGCAGCCGCCATTATTTTGTAGGCGCGTTCGAGATCATGTTCCGAATTGTCGTCGAAACTGTCCATAAGTTTGCATCCGTAAAAGTAAGTTTCGGCCGCGTCTGAAGGCGGAGGAGGTTGCGACAGGTCTGAATGAGGACTACAGAATGATGACGAACAACCGCCCAAGAGAAACGAACGTACAGCGTTTGGACGATGTACATGGAAGTTAGCGTTAAATACTACACTGTGACGATGTCACCCGTCATGTCACGTCGTCGCCTCTCGACTTCCTTGGACCTTGAACATCGAACTTCCGGCTGGCCTCGCTGCCCAGGGCACCATCAGGATAATCCCAGATCCTCTCGTTCGTAGCCTCCCTGCGATATTGTGTCGAACTAATCTATCGGACCCAGAAACGTCGAGAGCACATTTTAGAATTAATAATGGATGCAGAATCTTTTTCAACCAACCCAGGCGGGTACGAAGATCGCTGGGATCCCGCATTCACTGAGCTGCTCGGTTTCTTTGTACCGCCTAACGGGACGACCGTTGTAGGCAAACAGATGAGGATTGGGACAGACCATCACGACCAGTGCGCTCTTGCTATTTAAATAAACTGACAAATGTATGTAGTGATCGGAGGAGCTTGCCAATTTCTGAGCTGTGGACGTTCTGTACGTGCATAACGAAAAAGTTCTCTCCAA